AAGTCTTTTGCATTTTATGTAAGCACTTATATCATATTATATAGGTACAGTTACGGTCACAGTACAGTACCGTCCGTTTCCCACTCATACGAAATCCGCTCTATTGAATTTTCCGACTAAATTTTCCGAAGATGATCTCGGCTCCAGACCTTCTCGATACCTCCTTCTCGAGGATGGCATCTAGCCACGACCTTGTAAAAGCAGCCAGAATAGAGCCATACATCCAAGCCTGAAAAATGTCACGCTAATAGCCTGAAAATTCCGTCCGTTTAACGCTCGTTTTTCACGCTACTGTCAGCCTTAAAATCGCTCTGTTTGGCTCATTGTTTTCACGCTCAATTTTCGCTACTGTTTGGCCGAAATTTCAGGCTAAATTTTGGTCCTTGTCTCGCCGATAATTTTCGTACGGGTCCGTCGCATCAAATAATTGTCACATCAATAATCAAACATACAGCATCATTATAAAAAAAAGTTTCATTATAGGATCCAAAAACCGCAGCGAACAGCATTGAATTTTTGATGGAGCTTCTGTAGAGAGAAAGGTTAAAGAAACAAGTTTGTACGGTAAGAGTGCCATTACTAGAGCACGAATTGTATTTTATGAATTCTTTTTATTAAGCATTTCACATCCTTTTTGCTGCCTTTTGTACTCAAAGTATCTATGAAACTGTTGCGTAAAAAGATAAATTTAAGAAGTGTCTAGATACCCGGCACCCGGGAACGAATTTCGAAATACTAGATACCCGGGAGTTTTTATTAAATTCAAAATTTACGCCTTAATAATTGCTTTCACGATTTCAAAGTCTCCTAGCTTTGTTTAGAACAGGGAAGCGCTTCTTATGGACCATGAACATTAGAAGCAATCACAATTGTTGAGTCTCGGCACACTATAGAAATAGCCTAGTTGTGGCACTAGAAAAATTTCGAGCGTCAGTCGTGACAAACTGACGGGAACAGTTTTAAAAATACTACGCCCTACCCGGCAGTCTAAAACTTACTCAGAAATTCGCATAAGATCAGGAAAAGATTTATTCAGTGCAAAAGCCATGGCGAAACAAATCTAAAATTAATTTATCGCATGTAAAATCGATTTAAATCTAGTTTGAGGTTCGGTAACGACTCCCTGGAACGGAGTTTCAAAATACTACATACCCGTGAGTTTCTGAGTTTCCCATATAATATTCTCCTTTTTGATTAATTTTATGATTGTAAATTTCCTAACTTTGTTTAGAACAGAGTAGCGCTTCCTTATACGCTTTAAAGGCAGTTGAAGGATGCGTGTTTTCGTGTTTGTCGACTCTCTGGAACTTGATCTAAGTGCCACAACCAGGCTATTTCTATAGTATGCCGAGACTCAACAATTGTGATTGCTTCTAAATGGTCCATAAGAAGCGCTTCCCTGTTCTAAACAAAGCTAGGAGACTTTGAAATCGTGAAAGCAAYTATTAAGGCGTAAATTTTAAATTTAATAAAAACTCCCGGGTATCTAGTATTTCGAAATTCGTTCCCGGGTGCCGGGTATCTAGACACTTCGATAAAGGATTTAACAGCGTAAACAAGTAGGTCAGTGAAATTTCACCTCTGGCTTTTTTTGCGGAGTTAAATGTACTTTTTCACGGTGTTAGATTTATCTTTTTCACAACTGTTTCTTTAGAAACACCGACGCAGCTCACACTAGTTTCCCACTAGTTCCCACCACTATCTATGAAACTGAAATTCCATATCGTTCAAGGTAARKKATYGCGTGTCTCATGGTTGCAAACATGGTCAAAGCGTTGCCAATTAACTTTCTGCTACATGGTAATCTCCACGTCATCCTTGAAATTTGTTTTGGGGTCAAGCATTTTACATCCATTTCAATTTGTAGCAAAATTGATTAGCCGTACAACTAGCGTGATAATCTACAAACTCAGAAAGCTTTTCTCAACGGATTTGTGGATGTTGGTCAGATCATGATGATACGTCGGCAATAGGTTTCCTGCAATAAAAGCAGAGAGAGTAGTAATGAAAAGGAACTGAGAACAAGACAAGGGCACTAAATTCATTTTAAAATGTTTTTTGGATTTTAATGTATTGTCCGTCGGTCATTAGTGATATAATCTCACCATATTCTAATGAAAATATATAAAATGTTTGTTAATGAATAAGCACAGCGATATTGTTTGCCAGCTGGTCGTGYACAATTGGTGAATAGATCTATCCATAGATAGTTTGAGGCTCATTGGTGATATTCTCGCGTGACCATACAACACGATCATATCAATTACAACCGACGCCTGAAGACTGTGTTTGCTTCAAAAGCCAATTTGTAGAGCTATTTTCTGATAAAAATACGATAATTACAAGACGATCTGTATCGAGCGTTAATATCTTTTCCTGTATATATGCTTCCCGCAACGCGGGGTTCCTTTTTATTATTGTCACAATTCTGGATGACGCTGGATGTCTGCAAGATACTAGAAATATCAGTGTCGTCAAAGTGGTACTCATCATTCCAGATGCTTGATGTGATTTTTACATGATTAATTATATATCTACTTGATTTCAAGTCCTCCCTCAAAACTTAAACCGCCGTTCCACGACCTCCTTTTTATTCTGATAAGAATTTCAAGGACCCTCCATTTTATTACCCACCCACCCTTCCCAAGTAAATGTATTTATTTGATGTAATTTCCCCTAATGGAATGCTTTAGTTACCTCAAGGCAACACTTAACGCACTTTACAGATTACAGCCGATACAATTTAATGGCCATTAAGCACCAGCTACCATGGTTTGTTTGGTAGAGATTTTAACCTGGCTGTGCTCTTGTTTTATCTTTTAATAGATTTAATAGATTTGCTATGTAAGAATAGTCTGGAACGATTATCAAAAACTGGTTCAAATCCTTGCAGATATAGATCTGATGCTAAATCGGTTGGTCATAGATTTCTTTCGATTTTTTAATGTTAATTGGAAATTGATTGTTTTTTTGTTACGTTCTAATTCACTTCGTTCAAACGAACGTAAAATATTTATCTTCTATATTTCAAATATAAGTAAGACAACATACGATGTTGTAAATGGCAGGTGCGCTTGCGGACCATAATTCTGATTTTATTAGCAACTAGACGCCCCTGGGGCGTGAAGTCGGACTAGCTATTTTTGAAAATTGATAGACACGAGTGAAAAGATTATGATGTTATATTCTGTTTAATCATATGATTATATTATGAATGCAAATGAAACTTGAGAAAAACAGGAGGATATTACATAAAATATAAAAACTAGACCCTGTATGCAGGGTTGACACGTACCCTTTGTTGTGCATGATGTTGTGAGATCATTAGTAAATGAGGCCTTATTAAAACCTTACTGATACAGAATAAAGAAATGATTTGATCCATCGAGCCTTGCCAA